ATGGTACATTTTTATTTTTTAAAATTTCTATATAACCATAAAAGAGAGTTGCAACAGGAGAATGTAATTCCTGCCTCACTTCCTGTCCCCTGCTTGATCAAATTGAATGTGGTTCCATACTGCCGAAAGTATGCTATACAGACAAGAGCTTTGCAGCAGGCTAGGAATATATGGCATTACACATATTGTTGGATTCTAACTCCCATCATCCCTAATCAGAAGAACTAGTAGGGAGGGGTGATTGAGGTTACACGATTCCTGTCTTAAAAAAGAAAGGCTGGACCTCAGCTTCATTTCCTCCAACATTGTACCTTCAGATAACTGCTGTCCCTACTATTGCACATGATTCACAGTCAAAACAACCCACAAATCAGTAAAACCAGAGGGGAGGGAGTGACAATGCTTGTGTTTCATTATCAGTATACTTGAATTATTATTTTCTCAATTTTCCCTCACTTTTCAGAAGTTGGAGACAGAAGTAATTTACTTCCTTCAAGCTGACTGCATCCTGAACAGGGCTTTCTTTAAACCATTTTGTTGTTACGTATGATGGCATAACTACTTTCAGATCCCATCTACACAAAATTCCCATACCCACAGGCTGGATTAGAAAGAAAATGCTCTCCCATCCCCTTTCTCAGTAAGATATTGCCTCTACTAATTAATTTTGGCATCTTTTACGTAGAGTTAAGATGCCAAAAATATTTCTATAACTTTATATAATAAGGTTTTGAAAATCAGATTCTGAGATGACTGAGGTGATTGACTTACAAAGAGCTAAATTGCTACCTTCCCCCATCATTACTCTCTGTAACTTCTTTTGAGACATGAACAATAAACTTTCCACAACCAATCCCTTCAGACTAATTCCCCCCCCCCAAAAAAAACATTTGGAGGTCTTGCAGGAGAGAAGGATGTGCAAATCCCCAAATTGGTTGCCTAAATGCTTTCATATTTTTTTTAAAAAAACAAATTTGGGTTTATTAAAAAGCCTGAAAGTGGCAGTGAAAATATCTTCAATTATTCAGGCAGGGTTTTGGAAGGATAGTCCTGCAAATGACCATTGGAAAAGTTAGATGCTTTCAGAATAAGTGCAAGCAAGAGTTTGCAAGTAGATTTTTGTTCTTGTCATCAAGTCAACTTTGTCTTATGATGAACCTAGAACGAGAGACTTAATCCATTCACTTGCATACAGTCTTCTTGACTGCCTTCCATTTTGCCGCGCATTGTCTTTTTCCGATGAGTCATGTCATCTTATGATATATCCAAACTGCAATATCTCCATTTTTGTCACCTTGGCTTTTAGAGAGAGCCTAGGCTTGATTTGTTTTGGACCCATTTATTTGTCTTTTTCGCAGCCCACAGAATCTGCAGAACCAGCCCCACATTTCAAATGTGTTGATTCTCTTCCCGTCAGCTTTCTTCACTGCCTAGCTCTCACAACCATACATCGAAATGGTATGACCTGGATGATTTGGACTTTAGTATTTAATTTGGTATTAACACTTGAGGGTCTTATTTAGTTCCGTCATGGCTGCCCTTCGAAGTCCTAGCCTTCTGATTCCTTGACTGCAATCTCTGTTTTGATTAATGACTAAGCCAAGGTATAGAAAATCTTAGATTTATTCTATAAACTTATGCTTAAGTCTCGAAATTTTAGTCAAGAAATAGATCTATGTAAATTTACCCATGGGTCAATATAAGCAGTATTTTAACTCTTATATAAAAAAGGAAACTATCACTTCTCTGAATAGAGCAGCAAAAGGTGAGATCTTAATCCATCCTGGGAAAACCTAAAAGAGGCACCAACTCCCTCTACTCATCCATTCAGTCTTTAGGGTGAGCACAAAGAATCATGCCTGCCAAAATTTTATACGTTCTTTGGCATCATTTTCCTTTGTTTCATCCTTTATTACATGTTTTACCCTTGACTTATTCACAGGTTATAGCAAAATCTTGGCCCCAAAACCTGCCCTTGACACCTGCATGCTGTCGACTTATAGTCGAGCACATATGAGTTTTTTAAGTGCTGTGTTTTCTTTTTCTTTTTTGACATTGCAGAAGAGGAAAAGACGGTTTCCAGAGGCGTATTGGAAGAGCAGTAGTTGGGAGTCCCAGCCTTCATGGTTAGAACTTAAAAGGCATGACAAAAAAGGGAAAAGGGAGGGGGAGGCTGGAAGAGAGAAAAAGCAAACTCGGGTACTAGTTCTAGTTCAGTAGGGAGTGACTTAGGGAGTCGGGATCTAAGAACAATGGTGCGACTTCTGTTTGCCTTTGATGGTCCCAGCGATTGTAAGTAATGTATCTGCTAGTCCTTTTCTAACAGCTTATATTACCCATATATATTCCAACGCACAGTATGCTCAGAGCCAATGGTGTAATGCCAGCAGCAAAAGGAAGAAATAACCTTTGGAGGATGTCATTCCAATCCTCTCTCAGAGGTCTTTTGGTGTCTAACACTGACATGTGTTACTGCTGTAAAATAGACATTATTGCTATAGATCAGTGATTCCCAAACATTTTTCCTCCAGGTGTTTTGGACTTTAACTCTAAGAAACCCTAGCTAACTTTAAATTTAACCCTAACCTGAATCCTAACTTTAACCCTAACACTTAACTCCAACTCTAACCCTAACATTACTAACCCTAACTCTAACCCTAAACAGGTTAAACAGACAGGAATTTTGAGCACTGAAGTCCAAAACATCTGGAGGACCAAAATTTGGGAACCACTGGTATAGATGATGCGTAAAAGCTTTCCCCGATGGATCTAGCATCCCGACACAGCCAGTGTGAAGGGCCCTTCAACAAATAATCCTACCCAGAGTATTTCTCAATCAGCAGTTGAACGTAGTCCGCATTGCTGGAAATTTGAGGAGCACCCTTTCCCCAATTGCCTGGTGGATGATGAATTACGCAGTGCAGAAGCAAACAAAATGGTCTGGAAACCACCAAAGCCCTTTGATTTAGGGAGCTGGGTATGATACCCCTGTTTAAATATTTGAAGGGATGTCATACTGAGGATGGAGCAAGCTTGTTTTCTGTTGCTCCAGAGAATAGGACCCAGAGCAATGGATGGAAGCTACAGGAAAAGAGATTCCACCTCAACATTAAGAGGAACTTCCTGATGGTAAGAGCTGTTTTGACAGTAGAAGACACACTTTCAGAGAGTGGCCAAGTCTCCTTTGACCAAAGCAGAATAGAGTGGCACTATGACTTCTCTTGAGCTAGACCAGGGGTCCTCAAACTTTTTAAATAGGGGGCCAGTTCACTGT